ATGCAGGTGTCAGAGATCCTGAAGACAGAAATTTGCATTTCCACCAAATGTTCCCGTACTGGCATGTTCCATTGTGTCTGCCTATGCCAGGACTCTGTGTGTGTGTGGGTGCACGTGTGTGTGTGGAGGGAGAAAGCCACATTATTCTTATCAATGCCAGGACTCTGTGTGTGTGTGTGGGTGCACGCGAGTGTGTGTGTGTGTGGGTGCACGTGTGTGTGTGGAGGGAGAAAGCCACATTATTCTTATCAATGCCAGGACTCTGTGTGTGTGTGTGGGTGCACGCGAGTGTGTGTGTGTGGGTGCACGTGTGTGTGTGGAGGGAGAAAGCCACATTATTCTTATCAATGCCAGGACTCTGTGTGTGTGTGTGGGTGCACGCGAGTGTGTGTGTGTGGGTGCACGTGTGTGTGTGGAGGGAGAAAGCCACATTATTCTTATCAATGCCAGGACTCTGTGTGTGTGTGTGTGGGTGCACGCGAGTGTGGAGGGAGAGCCACATTATTCTTATCAATGCCAGGAATAGTTTATAAGGCAACGTGTCCCAACATCCATGAAACCATTATCCTTTTTTTCATCCCATCAGACTGTTTGATGATGCAACATTGTAAAAAACTACAAAAATAAATCATATCACAGGGTGCTGTCATTGAACAAGCATGTCATAACCAACATCATCAAGTCATGATTATTTGATGGCTACACTATAAGTCTACATGTATCATCAAGTTATCAGCTGTGAACATTGTAACCAAGATATCAGCTTTCATTTTTCATCAAAATGTCACATTACAATGCCTTTAAAGATACACATTTATTAATCGACAAGTAGCAACGTGTTTTAAACTGAAAATTATCATCAAGTTGCAAAGTGATATGGATGATAAGAATTATAAAGTTCCAAGCTGCTATATAAAATCAAGTTACACATTCACAAATATCATCAATTTTTTTCTCCAATCAACAAACATCATGAATGCACCAGCTTACAAGGAACATCATGTTTTCAGTGGAAAAATATTAGAAGTCTTATTGTTGGCTGATACTGCTAACAAGTATCCCAACATTATCAATGGACAAATGTCAAATGATTATTTGATTTACTGATAGATATGAAAATATCAAATTATTATTTGATTTATTGACAAGTATTGTCAAATTATCGGCTGAAAAATATATTATTATTTGATTTATTGACAAGTATTATCAAATTATCAACAGGCAAGAGTCAAACTATTATTTGATTTACTGATATGTATCATCATATTATCAGCTGTGAAACATAAACATGATTTGTTGGCAAATATCATTTATTTAAAATCATATGTTTATCAGCTTTCAAATATCTCATAAGTTTGCGACTGTCCTCAAATGTATCATATCAGCTTACAACTAACATTAGTGAATTAATTTACGAATGTGATAAATGTATTAGCTTTTAAATATCATCAATGTATTAGCCTACAATTATGAACATTGTATCAGCTTACAAGTATCATCAATGTATTAGCCTACAATTATGAACATTGTATCAGCTTACAAGTATCATCAATGTATTAGCCTACAATTATGAACATTGTATCAGCTTACAAGTATCATCAATGTATTAGCCTACAATTATGAACATTGTATCAGCTTACAAGTATCATCAATGTATTAGCCTACAATTATGAACATTGTATCAGCTTACAAGTATCATCAATGTATTAGCCTACAATTATGAACATTGTATCAGCTTACAAGTATCATAAATGTATTAGCCTACAATTATCATCTATTTATTTGCTTACAAGTATAATCAATGTACCGGCATTCAAATGTAATGTATTTTGAAATATCAATGTATCAGTACACAATTAACAGCAATTTATCAGTCTACAAGTGTCATCAATGTATTAGTCTCAAATTATCATCAGTATATCAGCTTAATCTATCAAGAAGTATCCTACAATTATCATCAATTTATCAGCTTACAAATATAGTGTAGCATAAAATTATCATCAAATATCAGCTTAAACTAGCATGAGCATATCAGCTTACAACTATTCTCAATGTAGCAGCATATAAACGTAATAAATTATCAGCTTTAAAATATCATCAATATATCAGCCTACAACTGTCATCAATGTTCAGTCTACAAGTATCAACACTGCTATCAGCTTACACCACAGGCGATCATTTCAACTTACGTTATTTGAAGAAACAATAATTCAGCAGGAAACGGAGCACCACCACACAGCCAGAAAATACATAAAACCTGAATTCATTAATTTCTTCAGTGATATTCACTAACATGTGATTGAGAATAACAGATGCTGAAAGTCTCCACTGATGAAGGGTACCACAGACTTGTGATCAGGCTAGTTGCAGCTGCTTAGCTCCACAGAAACCATTCATATTTGGCATTCTAAAATGCAGTTGCTGGTCACATCACTGCTTATTGTAGGTAGCCTGGGAAAGACACAGATTAGTCAATGATATGTAGTGGCTGTTTTTTTGTTTTTTTGTGTGTGCACTTCTGTCTTTTGGGACCTCAAACACTGGACTGCTCTAAATAACCAAAAACTTGAGCATTCTCAAAAACTAGGCTCTTCTACACAAACATAAATGCTACACTGTCTCTGTATAGTTTAAAACAATGAGCTGCTCTACACAGCTTTAAACAATAGACTTCTAAATAATACCTGTTCTAGATAACCTGAAACACTGGGAAGTTCTACATAACCTAAAACACTGGGCTGTTCTACATAACCTAAAACACTTGGCTGTTCTACATAACCTAAAACACTGGGCTGTTCTACATAACCTAAAACACTGGGCTGTTTTACATTACCTGAAACACTGGGCTGTTTTACATAACCTAAAACACTGGGCTGTTTTACATTACCTGAACACTAACTAGGCTGTTCTACATAACCTAAAACACTGGGCTGTTTTACATAACCTAAAACACTGGGCTGTTTTACATAACCTGAACACTAACTAGGCTGTTCTACATAACCTAAAACACTAGGCTGTTCTACATAACCTAAAACACTGGGCTGTTCTACATAACCTAAAACACTGGGCTGTTCTACATAACCTAAAACACTGGGCTGTTTTACATAACCTGAACACTAACTAGGCTGTTCTACATAACCTAAAACACTAGGCTGTTCTACATAACCTAAAACACTGGGCTGTTCTACATAACCTAAAACACTAGGCTGTTCTACATAACCTAAAACACTGGGCTGTTTTACATAACCTAAAACACTGGGCTGTTTTACATAACCTGAACACTAACTAGGCTGTTCTACATAACCTAAAACACTGGGCTGTTCTACATAACCTAAAACACTAGGCTGTTCTACATTACCTAAAACACTGGGCTGTTCTACATAACCTAAAACACTAGGCTGTTCTACATAACCTAAAACACTGGGCTGTTTTACATAACCTAAAACACTGGGCTGTTTTACATAACCTGAACACTAACTAGGCTGTTCTACATAACCTAAAACACTGGGCTGTTTTACATAACCTAAAACACTGGGCTGTTTTGCATAACCTGAACACTAACTAGGCTGTTCTACATAACCTAAAACACTGGGCTGTTCTACATAACCTAAAACACTGGGCTGTTTTACATAACCTGAACACTAACTAGGCTGTTCTACATAACCTAAAACACTGGGCTGTTTTACATAACCTAAAACACTGGGCTGTTTTACATAACCTAAAACACTGGGCTGTTCTACATAACCTAAAACACTGGGCTGTTCTAGATAACCTAAAACACTGGGCTGTTCTACATAACCTAAAACACTGGGGTGTTCTACATAACCTAAACACTAAGCTGTTCTACATAACCTAAAACACTGGGCTGTTCTACATAACCTAAAATACTGGGCTGTTCTACATAACCTTAAACACTGGGCTGTTCTACATAACCTAAAACACTGGGCTGTTCTACATAACCTAAAACACTGGGCTGTTCTACATACCCTAAAACACTGGGCTGTTTTACATAACCTGAACACTAGGCTGTTCTACATAACCTAAAATACTTGGCTGTTCTACATAACCTAAAACACTGGGCTGTTCTACATAACCTAAAACACTGGGCTGTTTTACATAACCTGAACACTAGGCTGTTCTACATAACCTAAAACACTGGGCTGTTCTACATTACCTAAAACATTGGGCTTTTTTACATAACCTGAACACTAGGCTGTTCTACATTACCTAAAACACTGGGCTGTTTTACATAACCTAAAACACTGGGCTGTTCTACATAACCTAAAACACTGGGCTGTTCTACATCACCTAAAACAATGGGCTGTTCTGCATTACCTAAAACACTGGGCTGTTCTACATTACCTAAAACATTGGGCTTTTTTACATAACCTGAACACTAGGCTGTTCTACATTACCTAAAACACTGGGCTGTTCTACATAACCTAAAACACTGGGCTGTTCTACTTTACCTTAAAAAAAAAACTGGGCTGTTTTACATATCCTGAACACTCGGCTGTTCTACATAACCTAAAACACTGGCTGTTCTACATAACCTAAAACACTGCTGGTCTATACAACATCACAAACTGTGCTGTTTTACTTACAAGTAACTGTACATTGAATATAATAATATAAAAATGTAAAGAAACCCAACACCCCAAAGTAGAAAAAGAAACACTAACCCCAGGGTAGAAGAGGAAAGACTAAATGTGACTGTAACATGCTATACAGTTGGGGATGATAGGAGTAAAATGATAGGAGTAAATGCACTAAACCATAAGGAATCAATTAACCTTAGAGAAGCAGAGAAATGATCATGAATGAATCTGCCTTATGGAACAACTGGTGTGTACTAAAAGACTTACTTCTGGTAACAGCTGAAGAAAAAAGACTGCCTGTCTGAGCAGTGAGCCTTAAGAAGATGTGAGAGATGGACACTGATTCCTCACCATCTGCTCTCTATCATATATGTGACTATATTTTTGGAAAGGTGAACTCACTTGTTTTCTGAAAGGAGCACTGCTAAATGGATCTGAAGATTCTGGCCGAGAAATCACAAAGTTCCCATGATTGTTAACGCTGGCAGTGTCTGGAAATACAATAAATCAATCATGTTAACGCTGGCAGTGTCTGGAAATACAATAAATCAATCATGTTAACGCTGGCAGTGTCTGGAAATATAATAAATCAATCATGTTAACGCTGGCAGTGTCTGGAAATACAATAAATCAATCATGTTAATGCTGGCAGTGTCTGGAAATACAATAAATCAATCATGTTAACACTGGCAGTGTCTGGAAATACAATAAATCAATCATGTTAACGCTGGCAGTGTCTGGAAATACAATAAATCAATCATGTTAACGCTGGCAGTGTCTGGAAATACAATAAATCAATCATGTTAACGCTGTCAGTGTCTGGAAATACAATAAATCAATCATGTTAACACGGGCAGTGTCTGGAAATACAATAAATCAATCATGTTAACGCTGGCAGTGTCTGGAAATACAATAAATCAATCATGTTAACGCTGGCAGTGTCTGGAAATACAATAAATCAATCATGTTAACGCTGACAGTGTCTGGAAATACAATAAATCAATCATGTTAACGCTGGCAGTGTCTGGAATTACAAAAAATCAATCATGTTAACGCTGGCAGTGTATGGAAATACAATAAATCAATCATATTAACGCTGGCAGTGTCTGGAAATACAATAAATCAATCATGTTAACGCTGTCAGTGTCTGGAAATACAATTATTCAATCATGTTAACGCTGGCAGTGTCTGGGGAAAAAAATCAATCATGTTAACGCTGGCAGTGTCTGGAAATACAATAAATCAATCATGTTAACGCTGGCAGTGTCTGGAAATACAATAAATCAATCATGTTAATGCTGGCAGTGTCTGGAAATATAATAAATCAATCATGTTAACGCTGGCAGTGTCTGGAAATACAATAAATCAATCATGTTAACGCTGGCAGTGTCTGGAAATACAATAAATCAATCATGTTAACGCTGGCAGTGTCTGGAAATACAATAAATCAATCACGTTAACGCTGGAAGTTTCTGGAAGTGTAATAAATCAATCTTGTTAACACTGGAAGTCCCTGTAAATATAATAAATCAATCAACATAAAGAAATATAAGGTGTGGAAAGAAATCAAGGAGACCAGTGAAACATTATGGCCTATTGAAAGATACTCTTACAAAAACTAGAAAAGATGCTTTTAAAAGAAAGAAAATCAATTCCAACGCTCTAGGTTTTATTACCTGCAGCTCAGTTTCACTGCTCATAGCAAATGATCACCTGCAAAAAAGCACCAGCTCCAATGTGACTGAAATAATTCCCAGGAATGTCTGGAAAACATGGCACAAACTGACTATTTTTCAGAGCATGAGAGCAAACATCTTAAACACTTCACCATAGAGACCCCTGTACAGAGGGAAAAAATCACATAGGCAAGCTAGAGGCAGATGGCGATACAAATGGGAAGAAATCAAGATGTGGACAAACCGCAACATGTGTCTATGTTCTGTCTGTCTCATTTATTAAAGCTATGATTTGCTGACTGATTGAACATTTTCTGTCACATTACTCGGTTCTTTCCACACACCTGAACTATCAGCTAGATAAAGGGATCACGAGCAGGAGTCAAATACATCTGGTACAAATACAACAGACCTCACAGAAAATTCACTGGTTCTCTCAGTGACCATATGTTTCATGTACAAAGTTACAAGTGACGGTAATTTTATTCCATGTAAATGAATTGTGGTAAAGTCACAGAACTTCACACACACAAGTTTACAGAATTTTAAGGTAAGAAGACCATCTGCCTTCCACACTACCCTCTGTCCCAAAGTTGACTACCCATTTTATATAGCTGGCAGGGTTTGCAAGCAGTTAGAAAAAAGCCGTGGACTAAACTCAAATAACAAAGTAGGTTGAATAAATATTGAAACAAATACTGGAAATAAAATAAAAAAATAAAATAATGACAATAAACAGAAAACCAGCTCAACATATCATCAGCGTTGAAGGAGAGACTTTAAAACAATCTATGGAGTTTAAGTATCTGGGCATTGTATTCACAGAACACAGAAGGCCAACAATATAAATTAGCAACTAGCGCCATTTCTGAGGCATCAAAATATCAAGATTCGTAATGCTGGGGTGCCGAGTTCAATTCCAACTGGGGATGATTTGTCTTGTATTGGTTTCGATAGTGGTACCAAGAGCTGACTGTTCAGGATCAATGGCAAACTAATGAATGTAAATTTTTACTTCAAAAACTACAACAGCCAAAAAATACTTGGGTTGGTTCTGCAACATCCTGTAAAGGATAAACAACTAACAGACACACATCAAAACAACTGATAAATGTGCTATTCATTCTGACTGTGTGCTATCAATGTCAGACATGGAACATCCTAGAAAAACATAAACGCAAAGTTATACAACATGTGAGATGAGATATATAACAAATGTGGTGAGAAAAATCAGAAGAGACAGGATCACCGACTAAGAACAATGGTAAGTATAGTACCAGTAAATGATTTCACAGAACATCAAAGAATCAAATGGTTTGGTTAACTGGTCAGAATGGAACAAAATTTAGGCAGAAACTAAAGAGTACCACATGAGAACAGCAGTCTACCAGACGAGAGTCTGACCAAGAAAGAGATGGGCGGAGGTAGTAAAAGAGACACTACAGTAATGTGATATGACATTAACACAAGCTACACAACCAACAAAATATAGGAAACTACAAATAACTTCTCTCTGTGAGGTTTTACAGCATAAGCAAAAATACAGAAGTAGAAAGAATAACTAAACAGCTAATTCTGTGTACTATGGATTACACAATCATGGCTGAAAGTAAAACCATATCAGAAATAACAGTAAGACTACACAGGTAGTCCCATTGCAGATGCTGCTGGGATGTCAAGTATTAGACCACAACATATTTCAGTGAGATGACCAGTTCTCTCCCTCGCCATCTTCTTCTACTGCCTTTCCTCTGCCAACAGAACAGAGGTCCTCAAACAGAATATGCCGTCTTTTTTTTTAAAATACCAGTTCATGATTGGTGAATTTATGCAGCTAAGGCTTTCTATAAACAAAGAAGGCAGTCTTATGCAAATTCTCCTTGGTTGCCTCTTATGACATGCATGGTAGTTACAGCACCTCTGGTCTTTGCTTCCCTTATGGAATCTAGTAATGTACAGGTGATTCAACAACTGGTAACTAATACAGAAACCAAAAACCAGTAACTAGTACAGAAACCAACAACCGGTAACTAGTACAGAAACCAACAACTGGTAACTAGTACAGAAACCAACAACTGGTAACTAGTACAGAAACCAACAACTGGTAACTAGTACAGAAACCAACCACTGGTAACTAGTACAGAAACCAACCACTGGTAACTAGTACAGAAACCAACCACTGGTAACTAGTACAGAAACCAACCACTGGTAACTAGTACAGAAACCAACAATTTTGGCAACTAATACAGAAACCAGCAACTGGTAACTAGTACAGAAACCAACAACTGGTAACTAGTACAGAAACCAACAACTGGTAACTAGTACAGAAATCAACAACTCGTAACTAGTACAGAAACTAACAATAACATTAATATACTCACTAGTTTTTGAGGCAAGTTTGATTTTATCAAATTCTTTCCCAAACAACATATCATCTGTCACAGCCCCAAAATTGTCGTCACCAAAAGGATTCCATTCAGCAAGGCTGGCTGTCAGGGGACCCTTCTGAGACCCTCTGTAATTCAAAGAACATGAACCATTGACAGAAAATAGATTGGCAGAATCTTATAGTCCCAGCTCACGACTGAGATGACATGTGGCTCATAAACTACATTAGGTGGGCCCCTTTCCAAATGAGATAACATGTGGCTCATAAACTACATAAGGTGAGCCCCTTTCAAATGAGATAACATGTGGCTCATAAACTACATAAGGTGAGCCCCTTTCCAAATGAGATAACATGTGGCTCATAAACTACATAAGGTGAGCCCCTTTCCAAATGAGATAACATGTGGCTCATAAACTACATAAGGTGAGCCCCTTTCCAAATGAGATAACATGTGGCTCATAAACTACATAAGGTAGGCCCCTTTCCAAATGAGATAACATGTGGCTCATAAACTACATAAGGTAGGCCCCTTTCCAAATGAGATAACATGTGGCTCACAAACTACATAAGGTGAGCCCCTTTCCAAATGAGATAACATGTGGCTCATAAACTACATAAGGTGAGCCCCTTTCCAAATGAGATAACATGTGGCTCATAAACTACATAAGGTGAGCCCCTTTCAAATGAGATAACATGTGGCTCATAAACTACATAAGGTGAGCCCCTTTCAAATGAGATAACATGTGGCTCACAAACTACATAAGGTGAGCCCCTTTCCAAATGAGATAACATGTGGCTCATAAACTACATAAGGTGAGCCCCTTTCAAATGAGATAACATGTGGCTCATAAACTACATAAGGTGAGCCCCTTTCAAATGAGATAACATGTGGCTCATAAACTACATAAGGTGAGCCCCTTTCCAAATGAGATAACATGTGGCTCATAAACTACATAAGGTGAGCCCCTTTCCAAATGAGATAACATGTGGCTCATAAACTACATAAGGTGAGCCCCTTTCCAAATGAGATAACATGTGGCTCACAAACTACATAAGGTGAGCCCCTTTCAAATGAGATAACATGTGGCTCACAAACTACATAAGGTGGGCCACGTTCCAAACAACAGCATTACACTGTGCTACACAGACAGGCATGAGAAACACAGCTCATGATGATAATGGCAAGTGTGACTAGCAAGACCGGCTCACATAAAGAAAGTCTTCCACTATCACAGCAAGGCATTTCAGCAACAAAGTTGCCACTGCATTGATTTCTTCTTCCCCTTCACCAGCTGTAAACTCCAGTGAAAAGTTATGGTTGTTTATCCACCTGCCAGTCCGAAATGCACGTTTTTCTGCTTCCCCATTTTGTTGAGTTTTTAGTCAATTTTCACTGGAATTCCTTGTTAGATAGCAGTAAGTCTATTCTTGTGTCCCTAACAATAGGCCCATGAAACCCACACGGGAAGCATGTATTTATAGTGCTTCTTTTCAAACACTCAGCTAGTGACCATTTTGCAATCATCTGTTTCTTTATCCCTATTCCCATCCTAAACCACAATGTTTCAACTACCCATTTGAGAAATTAATACTTAGGTGTTCGTGAAATATACAACGTAAAAGATAGTTGCGTACCTTTCACAAAGCAGCCCCAGCATTTACTGGTTGTTTGTGGTTTTATTAGGTAATTCTAAGTTCAGCAGTTAGCCACTGCTTTCTCAACAGTTATCTTTCAATACCTTTGTTAAAAAATCGCCTGCAGCTGAATCAAAACTGGGTATTTCAAAATTACAAACTGGGTAGGTAATCCATAAGACACAGACACTCTCAGAGAATACATACAAAGAGATAATGCAGACAAACAAAGAATATATACAGAGAATTCACACAACCAGAGAAAATATACAAAAAGAGAACACATAAAGACACAGAATACATATTTTTTTTTTTAAACACACACACACACACAAACAAACAAGTAATCATTTGGAAGAATTGTAACATAGCAGACACCCATGTCTTACCAGGGCCCATAACGGAAACAATGAACACTAACACTGTAACCCTCAGTGCATGCCGTAAGTTATGGATTTTTCAGCTAAGCTTACTCAGGTGTCAACATTTTGAAAATGGTGACTGTCATGGGGCACAGCCTCAAGCTCCAGCATAAAAATATCCTGAATACAATACAATTAGCAATGATTCGTGGGCCCCTTGCTGTGCCCCTGTGGGTTAAATTGGGCTCATGAGCCAGCGGCTGAATAGCCCTGTCGTAAGTGGTGAATCAGGAGTGTTAATGCGGGCCTGGCAACCCTAGTCTGGAGAAAGCTAGCAGCAAAATCTAACCAATTACAACAAGCATTGAAAGAAGGAAAGAAAAAGAACACAGGAAACAACAGAGAAGAAAGCAACATACTTGCAACAACAAAAAATTTTCAATAAAGTAACAAAGAAGACAACTTACAACAGCGGTGGAGAATTGACTGGGGTAGATGCAGCAGACTTGCACTTTGAGTCATCAACTGTTACAAGTCTAGGTTCCTGGTAAGCTCTGAAACACAATATTTATTTATCAACATTCATCATCAATATCGTCAATTGCCTCTCCACAATCTGTGACCTTTAACAGCATGAACCAATTTGTGAGTTAAACATATATATACAATCCCTAGCTGGCACCTAGATGACCTTAACAGCAAAATATAAAACTTAACCCAGTTGCCCATGAAAGCCAGTATTCTTAATTGTGCAAGGTTTTGTTTTAATGATCAGACAACTTGTACAGTGACCAATATGCATAAACAGCAGCTTTGGTAATGGTTACAACCGCATAGTGTGGTTTTGCTGATTTTGTATTTTTTTTAATAATTATTTTGAGAAACTGTCAACAAATTTTTTATATGTGGTCATTGTGACGCCATAATAAACTGATGTCATTTTTCTCTTTGTGGCTGTGTCAACACAATCCTGTTTTCTTAGTCAAAGGGAAGACAAGCAGTTATTTCTTTGCTCTGTGATCACTTCACTGGATGTGAAAATCACTTTTGCACAAATAATAACTACAAATATGAAAAAAAAACATTTATTTAGAGACAAGTGGGTCGCGATGAAGCAGTAGCTAGCAGGCTTGCTCGTCTGCTCGGTGGCTATACGTTTCGACCCCCTGAATTTTTTGAAAAATGATCAAGACTCCAAATTTCTGCTTCTTCTTGGCTTCCTCTAGTTCTCTGTGGACAATGCACATTTCTAGTATGACATCTGCAATCCACTCTGATTGTTGCCAGTAACACCAAGGCCCTTAGCTGTGTCATATCTCTGTCTTCCCTCTCTCTCTCTTCCCTCTCCCTCTCTCTCTCTCTTCTCCCCTTCTCTCTTCCCTCTCCCTCTCTCTCTCCCCCTCTCTCTCTTCCCCCTCTCTCTCTCTCTCTCATATTCTCAAAATGTTTCACAGATGCGACATCACTCAACACACAAGCCTACCTGAAAGCACTGCCTCGACCTCCCATTGTCAGAAAGGACGTATCGCTAACATTTCGCCTGTGACGAGGCAACTTGCCATCATTAGGGGGATGAAGCAGTCCCAATGACGACTTAAAGAAAACCAGAAAACAAAAAATGTACTGCGTGTGATTGACACAAACAAAAACAAAAAATAATTCAGAGAAACTATAGACACAAATTTTCAACAAAGGTTTCAAGGGTATATTAGGGCAAAAGATCAACTTCATTGCCCCATTTATAATGCTGAATGATTTAGTCTCTCTCCCAAGAGAAGTTGTTTGTCATCAAAGAGCAAAAAAGAAGGTGGCAAAAACTCTATAGCTGCAATGATGCCTACCATGGATCCCTAAAAGGGATGGAGTTTGAAAGCACATCACCCAGTGCTGATTGGTCTATCCGAACAGAGATCTAGCACTATATGTCCGATGTGGATCCAGCTCTATATGTCCGATGTGGATCTAGCACTATATGTCCGGGATCCAGCTCTATATGTCTAATGTGGATCCAGCTCTATATGTCCGATGTGGATCTAGCACTATATGTCCAATGTGGATTCAGCTCTATATGTCCAATGTGGATTCAGCTCTATATGTCCGATGTGGAACCAGCTCTATATGTCTAATGTGGATCCAGCTCTATATGTCCGATGTGGATCTAGCACTACATGTCCAATGTGGATTCAGCTCTATATGTCCAATTTGGATCCAGCTCTATATGTCCAATGTGGATCCAGCTCTATATGTCCAATGTGGATCCAGCTCTATATGTCCAATGTGGATCCAGCTCTATATGTCTAATGTAGATCCAGCTCTATATGTCCAATGTGGATCCAGCTCTATGTGTCTAATGTGGATCCAGCTCTATATGTCCAATGTAGATCTAGCTCTATATGTCTAATGTGGATCCAGCTCTAGTCTAATGTGGATCCAGCTCTATATGTCTAATGTGGATCCAGTTCTATATGTCCGATGTGGATCTAGCTCTATATGTCTAATGTGGATCCAGCTCTAAATGTCCATTGTGGATCCAGCTCTAAATGTCCATTGTGGATCCAGCTCTAAATATCCATTGTGGATCCAGCTCTAAATGTCCATTGTGGATCCAGCTCTATATGTCTAATGTGGATCCAGCTCTATATGTCTAATGTGGATCCAGCTCTATATGTCCAATGTGGATCCAGTTCTATATGTCCAATGTGGATCCAGTTCTATATGTCCAATGTGGATCTAGCTCTATATGTCCAATGTGGATCCAGCTCTATATGTCTAATGTGGATCCAGCTCTAAATGTCCATTGTGGATCCAGCTCTAGTCTAATGTGGATCCAGCTCTATATGTTCAATGTGGATCCAGCTCTAAATGTCCATTGTGGATCCAGCTCTATATGTCCATTGTGGATCCAGCTATATATGTTCAATGTGGATCCAGCTCTATATGTCTAATGTGGATCCAGCTCTATATGTCTAATGTGGATCCAGCTCTATATGTCTAATGTGGATCCAGCTCTATATGTCTAATGTGGATCCAGCTCTATATGTCTAATGTGGATCCAGCTCTATATGTCTAATGTGGATCCAGCTCTATATGTCTAATGTGGATCCAGCTCTATATGTCTAATGTGGATCCAGCTCTATATGTCTAATGTGGATCCAGCTCTATATGTCCATTGTGGATCCAGCTCTATATGTTCAATGTGGATCCAGCTCTATATGTCTAATGTGGATCCAGCTCTATATGTCTAATGTGGATCCAGCTCTATATGTGTAATGTGGATCCAGCTCTATATGTCTAATGTGGATCCAGCTCTATATGTTCAATGTGGATCCAGCTCTATATGTCCATTGTGGATCCAGCTCTAAATGTTCAATGTGGATCCAGCTCTATATGTCTAATGTGGATCCAGCTCTATATGTCTAATGTGGATCCAGCTCTATATGTCTAATGTGGATCCAGCTCTATATGTCCATTGTGAATCCAGCTCTATATGTCCATTGTGGATCCAGCTCTATATGTCCATTGTGGATCCAGCTCTAGATGTTCAATGTGGATCCAGCTCTATATGTCCATTGTGGATCCAGCTCTATGTGTTCAATGTGGATCCAGCTCTATATGTCTAATGTGGATCCAGCTCTATATGTCCAATGTGGATCCAGTTCTATATGTCTAATGTGGATCCAGCTCTATATGTCCATTGTGGATCTAGCTCTATATGTCCATTGTAGATCTATCTCTAAATGTCCCATATGGATCTAGCTCTATATGTCCACTGTGGATCCACCTCTATATGTCCGATGTGCCAAAGTCATGAAAGGGGTCCTTTACTTTTGTGTTAAAAACTAAATGTTCGGTGTGCGGACAAAAATGAAATGTTGGGAAAGAAATGTAGTGAGGAAGATGATTCCCACCTCGTGGTGTCATGGCTTATAAATGTTTGAGATCTAACATAGGTCACTGACCTAGAAGTTATAAAGACCTAATGTTCAATCCTAGATGTGGCAGCATTTTTATTCCAAACGGTGCGGCTCTAAGGTGGATCCAGACTCATGAAAATGGTCGTCAGATAATTTCTAGAAAATTTACTGGAAATCACCCAGGACAGAAAGAGGCCACCTCAACTCACATGTTAAAGTCTAGAATGTGTGAAGGCCTAATACTTTATACATTAATAGCAATATCTTCTAAGGGACTACCTGTTTTCATAAATACTTCACACCTCATTGGCAGAATATGCAACAGGTTCACTTGTTGTTTACGCTAACACTTCACTTGCTAAAAGTACTATTAGCCATAGGCCTTCTTCTTCTTCTTACAATACATGCCTCTGGCATTGGTAGTCATGTGTATCCACAACCTTCTGTCTTGTGTACTTTCAATCAATTTTGACACAGATGATCTTCCATGCCTTGATGTCAAAATGTCCAGCGTCTTTTCTTTTGGTCTCCCGCTGCCTCTTTTCGGCAGCCATGATGTACTTCAGTGTTCTCCTTCTCAAGACATGGCCAAATGTAGACCGTCTGCTTCTGATGTAGCCTATCTTTAGCATTTTTAATCAAATAAATGCAGATGGAATAATAAACCAAAACAAAAATTGCATCATCAGCTGAAACACACTGAAGGATGTAAAGAGGAAATCCAAATACCGACTGAATGAATGACTCAGTGTGCAAATGAGGATGATCTGTTGACTAACTAATAAAGAAAGCCAGAGAAGTGTGGTGTCCCATGCTGGCCCAACAGCCTGAGCTGTACGGCTCCAGAGAAGTGTGTTGTCCCTTGCTGGTCCGACAGCCTGAGCTGTACATCTCCAGAGAAGTGTGTTGTCCCTTGCTGGCCCGACAGCCTGAGCTGTACAGCTCCAGAGAAGTGTGGTGTCCCGTGCTGGCCCGACAGCCTGAGCTGTACAGCTCCAGAGAAATGTGGTGTCCCGTGCTGGCCTGACAGCCTGAGCTGTACATCTCCAGAGAAGTGTGCTGGCCCGACAGCCTGAGCTGTACGGCTCAAGAGAAGTGTGTTGTCCCTTGCTGGCCCGACAGCCTGAGCTGTACGGCTCCAGAGAAGTGTGGTGTCCCGTGCTGGCCCGACAGCCTGAGCTGCACGGCTCCAGAGAAGTGTGCTGGCCCGACAGCCTGAGCTGCACCGCTCCAGAAATGACTTTACCTAACAAACTGGATATGAAAACTAAGAGCACTTACTGAAGTTTGATTAGATCCTACTGTGTTTCCAACTGGCAAATAAGGCTGTTTAAACACAATGTCATTCAGAGATGCTAGTGAGGAGCAGGATTTTGACATGTCCTCTAGAACACTTTCATCTGCCAGACTTATCAGGTTTGCAGTTTTCACCTGTGCAAATAAATGTAATTATACACACTGTCTTTTGGAGGAGCAAAAAAAGATATGAACATCTTTTAACAACAAAGATATCAATTCACACAATATCAAATCAAGTTTTTCAGCTGCTGTTCTTGTGGCTCTGTCCCGGTGCTGCTGATTATACAATCGTAACATTCCAATTTTGTTGAATTGTATAATTTTCTCACTCCAATTTATACAAATAAATTGTATAATCTTCTCACTGCAATTTATAATACTGAATATCATCATAATCAATTTCCACTTCTGTCATTAAGTGATGTGGAAAGAAGTTTGTGATTCACTGCTTAATGGGTAGCAATGACTATTGTTATTCAATGTCAATGTAAAAGCTCTTTAATGTCATCAATCCAAATTCTCCAATGGTGACCTCTTGCTTCCACCAGATCTTTTCATGCGTAGTGCCTGTGTTGGTAATTATTCTGGCTGCATTCTTACTAGATGACCCCAAAAAATCTCATCTTCTGTTTCTCAATGATATTGCTGTATGGTGTTGTTCCTAAAGTCTGTATGAAAATATCACTTCTAACTTTATTTCGCATGGTTAAATTGGCAGCTTTTCTCAGGCATCTTATTTTACAGGTGTTAATCTGATTATATACGTGTTCTGCATTTCCTCTGAATGTAGAGCATCGACCAGATCCCCTGGTCATTCCTAGATTAAAATTCTCTCCAGACCGTAATGATCTTTTCATACCTCTGCATTGTTCAGTTGCTCTCAAAGGGCTTTGACCACACCTGGTGTGTGCAGAACCAGCCTATCTGTCTGCCTGTACATTTCTAGCACCTAGAAATAAGAGATAGTGCAGGATAAATGTATGTAATGAAGGAGATGATGTAGAGAAATGACCAAGCTAACTTACATCGTGGTTTGATGCGCTCGTGACCATCCTGTCTCCTGATGTATGCCTATTATGACCATTGTGGCTGAAAGCCTGGTGAGCCCTTGGAGGCTGCTGTCCACCAGCAGAACTGGGAAATATATTATACATGGCCAACTGTTGCTGAAAAAATAAACCACAAATATATTTTCTCCGCTGGCTCTCAAAACAGCATATCTATCTATTATAAAGTTGCCAGTTAATATAAAAAGTAATTAACTCTTTCACCATATGAATGAAAATATAAATGGTCACAAATCTGTGGAAATTCAAGAAACAAATTCTTAAAAATACCATTAATTTTACACTGGTCAATAACAAATTTTATAAACATTTATTTCTTTGTTATTTTTAAATTCAAAATATTTAAAGATATATATTAAAGGGGTCATCAGTCAACATGAGTAGAAGGAATCAATGCGTGGAATATACTCCCCAGGGTCTAATAAAAAAAAACTTTAAAAAAAAAATACTTATCATGACCTCTAATCACTGAGGCTTATGGGACAATTTGATATCAACTTAGCTTGGGAAAAAAGCACTTTACTATCGTAAGGAACACCACCTAAATGTTACTTTCAGTCACTATATTCATATCCTGGCCCATTAAACACTACACAGACACAAACAGAAACATAATTTTTTTTTAACTACCACCACTTTAATTGAGATTGTTACAGAGATCCTCTCCCTAACACAGTACCAAACTACCACTTCCACTGGGATTGTTACAGAGATCCTTTTCCTAACACAGTACCAAACCACCACTTCCATTTAGATTGTTACAGAGATCATTTTCCTAACACAGTACCAAACTACCACTTCCACTGAGATTGTTACAGAGATCTTCTTCCTAACACAGTACCAAACTACCACTTCCACTGGGATTGTTACAGAGATCCTCTTCCTAACACAGTACCAAACTACCACTTCCACTGAGATTGTTACAGAGATCTTCTTCCTAACACAGTACCAAACTACCACTTCCACTGGGATTGTTACAGAGATCCTCTTCCTAACACAGTACCAAACTACCACTTCCACTGGGATTGTTACAGAGATCCTTTTCCTAACACAGTACCAAACTACCACTTCCATTGAGATTGTTACAGAGAACCTTTTCCTAAAACAGTACCAAACTACCACTTCCATTGAGATTGTTACAGAGATCCTCTTCCTAACACAGTACCAAACTACCACTTCCACTGGGATTGTTTCAGAGATCCTTATTGTTGCCAGTGGAGTATTCAAAACTAGTATTGGAACTACATCTCTCTCAACAGCCCATACAGGCTTGCTGGCAGTAGGTAAAGGCTGGTCATGTTTCCTTCACATAAGGTGGAAACAGGACCAGGCTAACCCTGTCCCATTCAAATTAGCTGACATTAGGATTAGGTTGGTCCTGTTTCATTTTCATTAGCTGACGATAAAACCAAGTTGGTCATGTTTCCTTTACACTGGCTGGCATTAAGACCAGGTTGGTCATGTTTCGTTTACACTGGCTGACATTAGGACCAAGTTGGTCATGTTTCCTCTACACTGGCTGACATTAGGACCAAGTTGGTCATGTTTCCTCTACACTGGCTGACATTAGGACCAAGTTGGTCATGTTTCCTTTACACTGGCTTACATAAGGACCAAGTTGGTCATGTTTCCTTTACACTGGCTTAAATAAGGACCAAGTTGGTCATGTTTCCTCTACACTGGCTTACATTAGGACCAAGTTGGTCATGTTTCCTCTACACCCGCTTACATTAGGACCAAGTTGGTCATGTTTCCTTTACACTGGCTTACATTAGGACCAAGTTGGTCATGTTTCCTTTACAATGGCTGACATTAGGACCAAGTTGGTCATGTTTCCTTTACACTGGCTGACATTAGGACCAAGTTGGTCATGTTTCCTTTACAATGGCTGACATTAGAACCAAGTTGGTCATGTTTCCTTTACACTGGCTTACATCAGGACCAAGTTGGTCATGTTTCCTCTACACTGGCTGGCATCAGGACCAGGTTGGTCATGTTTCCTTTACACTAGCTGACATTAGGACCGGGTTGGTCATGTATGTTTCTTCACACTGGCTGGCATCAGGACCAAGTTGGTCATGTTTCCTCTACACTGGCTGGCATCAGGACCAGGTTGGTCATGTTTCCTCTACCCTGGCTGGCATCAGGACCAGGTTGGTCATGTTTCCTTTACACTAGCTGACATTAGGACAAAGTTGGTCATATTTCCTTTACACTGGCTGACATCAGGACCAAGTTGGTCATGTTTTCTCTACACTGGCTGGCATCAGGACCAAGTTGGTCATGTTTCCTCTACACTGGCTGGCATCAGGACCAGGTTGGTCATGTTTCCTCTACACTGGTTGGCATCAGGACCAGGTTGGTCATGTTTCCTCTACACTGGCTGGCATCAGGACCAAGTTGGTCATGTTTCCTCTACACTGGCTGGCATCAGGACCAAGTTGGTCATGTTTCCTTTACACTGGCTGGCATCAGGACCAGGTTGGTCATGTTTCCTTTACACTGGCTGGCATCAGGACCAAGTTGGTCATGTTTCCTTTACACTGGTTGGCATCAGGACCAGGTTGGTCATATTTCCTCTACACTGGCTGGCATCAGGACCAAGTTGGTCATGTTTCCTCTACACTGGCTGGCATCAGGACCAAGTTGGTCATGTTTCCTTTACACTGGCTGGCATCAGGACCAAGTTGGTCATGTTTCCTTTACACTGGCTGGCATCAGGACCAGGTTGGTCATGTTTCCTCTACACTGGCTGGCATCAGGACCAGGTTGGTCATGTTTCCTTTACACTAGCTGACATTAGGACCAGGTTGGTCATGTTTCCTCTACACTGGCTGGCATCAGGACCAGGTTGGTCATGTTTCCTTTACACTAGCTGACATTAGGACCAGGTTGGTCATGTCTGTTTCTTCACACTGGCTAGCATCAGGACAAAACTGATCATGTTGTTGTGCAGGTGTGAGGTTTTTTCTTGTTAACAGACTCCAACAGAGCCAACAGAGAAGGAAAGAAGAGAGCAAACACTGTAAGATATCTCAGCAGTGTATGCTAAAGCAGCTAGGAAAAGCCCAGAGTATTTTTCATGTACATTCTCACTGCCAGCATTGTTGGTTTCATTCTCCATGGTGTTTCATTCTGCATGGTGTTTCATTATCCATGGTGTTTCATTCTCCCTTAAAGAACAATGTGCTGTTGTGCATTTGTTTTTGGGGGGGCAAAAGCGCTGCCCGCAACGGACATTCATAAGGAAATGCAAATTTTTTATGCTGCCAATTGTTTATCCCGTAAAGCGGTGCACAGCTGTAAAAAAAAAGAAAGTGTTTTCAATTGCACTCTAAAACTGTTGATGAAGTCCAGTCTGGTCATCCTGTTTAGACTGTAACAGGCACATCGGTGCAGCAGGTGAAAGAGATTATTAGAGGTGACAGGCGAGTAACGGCTGACTCTGTAGCAGCCGCAGCAGGGTGCTCATATGGTTCAGCATACAACATAATGCATAATCGATTGAAATTTAAGAAAGTTTGCTCAAGGGGGTACCCAAAAATTTGACGAATTAGGCCTGTCCTTGCAGCATCTTTGTCAATATGCAGATGAAAGAAAAGACATTATTACTGGGGAGGAATCATGGGTGCATCACAACCAGCCTAATTAAAAGTGTGCTTCAATGCAGCGGAGACATCCTTCTGCGTCTTAGATATTTAAAAAATTCAAGGTTATGCTATCAGCAGGGAAGGTTATGCTATCAGCAGGGAAGGTTATGCTATCAGCAGGGAAGGTTATGCTATCAGCAGGGAAGGTTATGCTATCAGCAGGGAAGGTTATGCTATCAGCAGGGAAGGTTATGCTATCAGCAGGGAAGGTTATGCTATCAGCAGGGAAGGTTATGCTATCAGCAGGGGAGGTTATGCTATCAGCAGGGAAGGTTATGCTATCAGCAGGGAAGGTTATGCTATCAGCAGGGGAGGTTATGCTATCAGCAGGGAAGGTTATGCTATCAGCAGGGGAGGTTATGCTATCAGCAGGGGAGGTTATGCCATCAGCAGGGAAGGTTATGCTATCAGCAGGGAAGGTTATGCCATCAGCAGGGAAGGTTATGCCATCAGCAGGGAAGGTTATGCTATCAGCAGGGAAGGTTATGCCATCAGCAGGGAAGGTTATGCCATCAGCAGGGAAGGTTATGCCATCAGCAGGGAAGGTTATGCTATCAGCAGGGAAGGTTATGCTGACAGTGTTCTGTAATTTTCAAGGAGTGCTTTTAACTAATTTAAAATGATGCAATTCAAAGAAAACATCCAAGCCTGCTGACTACAGGAGTACTGCTCCTTCATGACAATGCCAGACCATATACGGCTCAGTTAACTAAGGAGAAAATAAACCATCTAGGGTGGGAACTTCTGAAAGATCCACCTTACAGCCCCGGCTTACCCCCTAGGGATTTCCACCTTTTTGATCCACTGAAAACTCACCCTGGCTAGAGACATTTCGCAAATGATGCAGAAGTTGAATGTGAAATGAAAATGTGGCTTAGAAATCAGAATACGCAGTTTTATGCAGCATGTTTGGGAGGACTGATAGAACGATGGAACAAGCGCGTCAATGTTGGTGGAAACTATGTTGAAATATAAGGGGACAACCATTTGTGACTTACTTATTGACTTTCCCTCGTATTATCTCTACATATCAGGCTAGAAGAGGAAAGATTATCAACAAACATATCAACCGAGACCACAGTACTCACTACCTGATATGAAAAAGTAGTTTGTGGCTGAGCACAGAAAGACTGGGCAGGTGTACCAGCCACATTCATAATGGGATAGTTGGCTGGATGCTGGGTCTGCTGAGAGTCTGGTGAAAACAACGGAACTGTAGGCAGGCCCATCTGTCCTGGGTGGGGAGGTGATGGCACGGTCTGAGGGCCAGCATCTGAAGCAATATTACAATCACATAAAACAAATCTACCGGGTGTCTTAATGGTACAGTGGTAACATATTTAACTTGTACTATGGATGTGAAGAAAAGCATAGCAGCTTGATGCTCAAAAGCTACCCCAAAGATCTTGGGTTCAAATATGTACAAAGTCACATTTTTATAATAGAGGTCAAACTGGCCTAAAATGAGTTTCAGGTAAAAGCCTGGGAAGTAAATGTGACCAGTGTGATGCTGACCAAATCCTCCAGTGAGTGCTGTATGATCTAAAGAAATGATTTTATTATCATATATCTCAGGGCTATGCAACTGGTGGCCTGTGGACCTAATCTGGCCCATAGATGCCTAGCAAGTGGCCCACAGATCACTGCCAGCTGTACTGTATTAATAATCTCTGTATGCTGAGTGTCATGGTCCTATGTGGCTATGAGATGGCGGTGTATGACGATGGTGAATAATGGACCAGAAGTTAGTTGATCGTTTAGTGACCTCATGTTCAACAGTCCACAAACTTCAATCAGAATAGCGTGACGGATGAATTAAACAACCAAATGCACACTGAGACATATCTGTCGGCATCCGACACTAAATTAGCTAATACTTGAATGCACACTATGACGATAGTAAGCTTGTCTTTCACCAGGAAGTATCAGTAAAGAGAAGGGGATGGAGCTCAGGATCCTGTATGGCTATAAGATGGTGGTGTATGATGATGGTGATTAGTGGACCAGAACTTAGTTGATCATTTACCGACCGCTTATTCTATCGTGACAGATCAACTAATCACTCCTGGGTTCACGAGGTTCTCAGGGACGGGCAGTCAGTTGGGGACTTGACAAAAGCGACAGGAAAACGGGCTTTAGGGGAGTTGTGCTGGGACTTGTGGTGTTTTGATCATTAGATGTTTCTGTATTTAACTGAAGTATTTTGTGATAGCGTATTAGCCTGACATGACGGTAGTATAACTAAAGTGTTGGTTTGTGTTAGAGAGAGAGATAGTCCATTGTGTTTATTTATACTGGTATTCATTCATGTATTTAGCTGTGTGTTAGCTAGGTGGTTCACGAAGGGGGTCTGTCCTATCATACTAGGCAGAGCCATGCAGTAGCACAGCAGTCCCAGTGTAAGGTGCAAAGGAAAGAGCTTGGATCGGAGGCTGTTGGTTTGGACCCGAGTGATTCCTGAACAACTGGTTGACCAGTGTGTAAGTGGCGATTATAAAGCCCTCCGTCGACTGGGGTAGGGTTTGCGAGCACCTCATTATAGTCAAGACTGATGTCTATGCTCTGAGGGTGTTGGTTTAGCTCAAGGATAGATGTTTCTGTCATGAAGCTGTCAGTGAGCTATTTGCTTTGACAACAGTAAGCAGATCTCTGACACTGACACCACTTAGAACTCTTGCCATGACGATGACCCCCACCCTCCGTCCAGATTCCTAAATTTGGCTTAAGGACTGACATGGGGAACAAGGAAGATATAGCTTGGAAGCTTTATAGCGAGCTCAAGGCAAAGATCATTTATAGAGAGACTCATGAAACCATTTATTCACTGACTTTACAAATAGAAATGCTTGTAGTAAGGTAAGGTACAGCGACTGAAAACTCTTGTCTCCTTCTATGGATGTGTTATAAGGAGAAATAAACTTAGTGACAACTGGTAAACATATGGGAAAATAGATAGGGAAGATAAAGGGATATATACTTGGATCCCAGGTCACATGGCTTTACTCAGACAAGAACAAAGAACTATTCTAAGACTGCTGAGTTTGTGCTTTAGTGAAAGGTAAATTATGATGATGATGATTTCTTCTTGCGCTAGGGTGAGGGTCAACTAAATCTGCAGACTTGCCAAGAGGAAGACCACACAGTTCTTTCCAGATCACCGGGCAGCCTTGTCATTTTTATGTTAACATACTGGTCGCAGCTTTTGAATTAGAGTGGTGCAGAAAAATTCTTAGAACAACAAGGACCAAGAAGAAGAAAAACACCCACACCCTACATGATCTGAGTATCCAGGAGAATGAGCTCATCAACTAAATCCTGTCCCCAAAGCTGAGGTGTTTTTTTGGGCCATGTTAAAGGTCACAGTGGCCTGGACATGGTCGGTACAGCAGAATACGTGACAGAGGCAGACATGGATATGCATTGAAGAAGCACTGGATGTGAAAGCACTTAGGGCTGGAGAAAAGGCTAGAGAGACTTTCAGGCGTGCCATGAAGAAAGTGATGTCCTGTAGATCATATGCTGACTGATAATGGCGGCAGAGATCATAAGATAATTAAAAAAGAATTTAGGCAGAAACCAAGGAACCACATCCCCACGGTGAAGCCCATCCTCAGACTGCTTCAGTCTGGCTAACATTCTATGGATCACCAAGTCTATCCAAAGATTGTTTCAGTCTGGCTAACATTCTATGGATCACCAAGTCTATCCAAAGACTGCTTCAGTCTGGCTAACATTCTATGGATCACCAAGTATATCCAAAGACTGTTTCAGTCTGTCTAACATTTTATAGATCACCAAGTCTATCCAAAGACTGTTTCAGACTGTCTAACTTTCTATGGATCGCCAAGTCTATCCAAAGAAGTTTAGTTCAAGTACAAGTGTAGCCTACTCAGCTTCACTTTCCCCCACCTGGACAATTTGTGAAAGCCCATTTCATGGCTCAGGTGATTTAAACATCCATGCAAAAAAACTCAAGAATTATAACAACTCTATTCTCGAGAAATTCCAACCAACCAAACAAAACAACATACATACTTAGAAACCTTCCTGCTATGCCACCACTAGAACCCTGTTCTGCTGCTATGTGGAGTCAAAATAAAACATTAGGTTTCACACAAGACTAACAAATAAGTAGTGAGACCAAAGTCAATAAAATCAACAGACTGCTTACCAACAGGAGTATTTGGGTTGCTAGGGGTCGGTCGTCTTCTTGGGGCAATTGAGGTCTGAACAGGAAGCCCAAGAGGAGCGGTGGATGCTGCAACAGCAGGCTGACCATGAGGTCTTTCCCTGGGAGCAATTGTTGCAGTGTTCACACTTGGAGGATTTGTGTTTCTGAATGATTCCAAAAACATGTTAACCACTGGTTATGGATTATTTTTCAATGTACATTTATACCTATATAAGAGCTTCAATCTTCTCTCACAGAAAGAGAATCATAGCATAAGCCATGAATTCCAAAGCATAAGTGAAGATTCAAATGTGTAGATCAGATGTAGGTTGTTGTTGGTACATTTCTGTCTGCCCAGATGAGTGTGTTCCATGTGCTATAGGGGAACATCAGGATCGCAGTCCATGGTGATATCACTTAAAGCCAGGGATTCAGCTCCTACTCTTCTAACACAAAGCCTGGGCGGCATTTACAGACATGTTGCCCTGCAGCATGATCCTTCTCTGGTTAATTATAAAGTACTGAATGTATAAATAAATAATACAGTTCACCCTAATGCTTTGAACTGAGGTGCATTTTTTTTAATGTATATTTTTCTATTTAATAAATGTCTAATTTTGCACATGAATAAATATATACGCTTATATGCGAAGAAAGATACCCCATGAAAATAAACCCTAAGATGCCTTTCTAATGACTATCCTTACCTTGGTTGGATCCTTTTGTCAGCATTCTTACTGCATTTGCCCCTCTATATTACCTCAAAACTTGGTTCAATAAAAACACATCTCACAGCAGATAACACTGCCTCCATTTCAAACAGTCATGGAGTCATAGCCCGGTTTTTTTTCTCAGGAGCGGGCTGCTGACTCAAGTGTATTCACACGATCTCAAGACGCATTCACCCTTAATTCGAATTCTCATAAAAAATTCATGTCTCTTAGTTGCCCTCATTCCACCAAAATGAAAAACTGGGTCATTACAAAACCCAGTCTTTTTTCTGAGGAAACAATGTCATTTGATCTTGCTTCTGAGACTTACTGTTGATACTATAAGATCAAGCCACTCGTTGGTTTGATAAGGTCTCACTGTTAAGACTATAACCCCGAGAGATCTTAATTCTTCTTCACATATCTTCTCACACTACCAAGAATATATTTCACATTCTGCTGCCCAGTATAATTTATTTAAATGGTATTTAGTCTAGTTCAAGTGTCACCTTCTAGGAAGTCTGAAAACACTGTGATGGTCTAGCAAATCAACAGTGGCTTATTTAGTGCTTGTACAACATGACCCGACTATGACACTGTCTTCAGAAGACAGAAGGAAAATAGTCACGATAGAAATGAACATTTTATGTACTAAGCTAGGTGTAACGAGAACAGATCGTCTTAGGAACGATGATATTAGGAGGAAAACCGGCACAGAACCAATACTGAACTTTATAGGAAGGCAACAAATCGAATGCTTTGGCCATGTAACAAGATTGGCTGCAGACTGGGAACCACAGAGAGCAATGTTATACAGAGGTTGACAATGTAGAAGATGGACTGCAGAAATAGCAGAGACTGAAAAGTACTATATACAATGTGAACAGAAGGGTCAATTCTAGAGATCTCTTCCTCCCCTGATGCAGTGACGCATTCCAGGAGTAAAGAAAAGAAGAAGAAGAAGAATTTAAAAAAAAAACTTTTTAAAGTTTTCTGAAACTCTACACTAAGAAACTATACATAAAATAGTAGAGTCATTAAAACAACTTTGTTTAAGATGAACAATCGGCTGACATAAACAAAATGTTAGAACTATAAGGATTTTCAATTATTTTAGTCTCAGTTGGCACACATTTTTTTAACACAAACTCTTGATTTGTTTTGTGTGTGTGTGTGTTTTTTTTTTTGGTCCCTTGAAATTCAGGTTAACAAGGTTTGATAATATTTAGCCCAACAACACACATGTGGTCAAAAACAGTAACAAAGCTGGTATACATGAGTGGCTGTAACTGCCCAAAGTCACAGAGATCTCAGAACTGACAGGGGCAACAATGTATTAGTAAATTTGAGCATGCTGACAACTCCACAGCTTTTCTTCAAAGTGTGCTTGTGTCGACCAACACATCTCTGCACTGCATATTTTGGTGACGTTTGCAGGAAACATTTATCAGTTACTATCTTAATTCTGATGAGAATTATTCATTGCTGATACTTTATCATTATGTGATCACCAATGTGTTCTTACTTCTGAGAAGCTGACTTGATCTGTTTAGCTTCCGATTCTGTCAGAGGAACTGGTAAGTTTTGAACAACAGGCACTGGGACAGACTGGAATGAACAATTACATTTACTGCACTGTTTACAAAGTAACTACTTAATATAACTCATATATATTCATTATTCTGTTTAATGGAGGTCAAAAGGAGGATGGCCACAGCCATGCAAAAATTAAACAGAATTAAAAACCTACGGTTAAGCACCAGCAAGGAAATCCAAGTTAACATTTTCAGAACATGTATTTTCCCTGTATCAACATACAGATATTGCAGATCTTATGAAAGAAAACAGGAGCCCTTGAGTTGAAATGCTACTGAAAGATTCTCAGAAAACCATGGACAAAAAAAAAAAAAAAAAACTGACATCCTAAAAGATCTGAACATCGATTAAGATTAGCTAGTCAACAGCATTTTGTCTCGGAAAATGAAATATTTTGGGCACATCAAGTGCATGGCAGATTGGAGACACAAATAAAAGCAAAAGGCAGGATACCAGGAAAGAGGGGCAGGGGCCGACCAGTATGAAGATGGGCACAGGACATAAGTGACTCCTTGGATAGGAGAGTGCACAAGGCAGGGAGCTGGTGAAACAGTTTCTTTCAGACAGACCATGGTGAGTGTTATGTACTACAAAGGACCTACTATATAATGATAGGCAGCCATGCTTGAATGAGTCTACCTGATAATTATTGAAAATATCTAAACAGCAACACAGCTAAACATTGAACACCAAATAACTATTTAGTATGCAACATGCAGAAATCATGGTTATAATTAACATCATATAAGTCTACTGAAGACAGTCAGCTGGCACCTGTAGCTTGGGCATCATAAACACACTTCATAATTCTGAAGTGCCAGGTTTGATTACAACTGCAGGCAATTTGGCAGCAAACCAATCTGCAGTGATTTCAACAATGCTTCAAAATTATGAAGCGTGTTCATAATAGCCAAGCTACAGATGCCAACTAACTCTTCAGTATATTTTCGACAATGATGCAGAGCACCAGCTATTCAGAAAGCAATGGCAATTTACTGAATGTTAATTACTGAAGGAATTAAAACTATAAAACAGTGATCGCCACTAAGATTTTGAATGATCCTATCTGTCACACATGAATGTCATCTTTGTTCAACTCTCATGCACTCACATCTTTACGCCCACCTCTGAATTTCCTGCTGATTCATTCAATTATTCATAGGGTAGTGTAAAGGACAAGGCGCCTTAAACTTCAGAATTTACTGCCACATGGCTACTGTAGTCACCATATTCTCTGAGGTTATTTTTGAAGTGTATACACATTATATATGAATAGGATACATTTTCGCCCATCGACTGACAATGAGATTAACTGTCTTTGTTTTGAGGATATTTCTGCTGTCTTCCTCAAGTACACAGAACCAGTCTTCTTCAAGTACACAGAATCAGTCTTCTTCAAGAAAACAGAACCTGTCTTCTTCAAGTACACAGAACCAGTCTTCTTCAAGTACACAGAACCAGTCTTCTTCAAGTACACAGAACCAGTCTTCTTCAAGTACACAGAACCAGTCTTCTTCAAGAAAACAGAACCTGTCTTCTTCAAGTACACAGAACCAGTCTTCTTCAAGTACACAGAACCAGTCTTCTTCAAGTACACAGAACCAGTCTTCTTCAAGTACACAGAACCAGTCTTCTTCAAGTACACAGAACCAGTCTTCTTTAAGTACACAGAACCAGTCTTCTTCAAGTACACAGAACCAGTCTTTTTCAAGTACACAGAACCTGTCTTCTTCAAGTACACAGAACCAGTCTTCTTCAAGTACACAGAACCAGTCTTCTTCAAGTACACAGAACCAGTCTTCTTCAAGTACACAGAACCAGTCTTCTTCAAGTACACAGAACCAGTCTTCTTCAAGTACACAGAACCAGTCTTCTTCAAGTACACAGAACCAGTCTTCTTCAAGTACACAGAACCAGTCTTCTTCAAGTACACAGAACCAGTCTTCTTCAAGTACACAGAACCAGTCTTCTTCAAGTACACAGAACCAGTCTTTTTCAAGTACACAGAACCTGTCTTCTTCAAGTACACAGAACCAGTCTTTTTCAAGTACACAGAACCTGTCTTCTTCAAGTACACAGAACCAGTCTTCTTCAAGTACACAGAACCAGTCTTCTTCAAATACACAGAACCAGTCTTCTTCAAGTATAAAACAAAAAATCACACAAAGTTTTCCATTACACAGCAGAACCTCCAAAGCTGACCACCTCTCTGTGTTGACTACACTCCTATGTTAACCTCACTAGCACTGATCAAACAGTCCCCACATATTCTCAACAGTATCAGTACAATATATGTATGTTAACCATCTCTATAAGTTGACCAGTTTGCTACAGTTCTGTGGGTGGTCAACTTGTAGAGGTTCTATTGTATAGATCACACTATACAAAGAAAAATCACTTACATTCAAATTTAGCACAGGGTTGGCCCTTCTGGCAAGACTGAAGGCAACATGTGATACTTGGAAAATATCTGGTCTTTTAATCGGGTCTTTTTCTAACATAAAGGCTAAAATTAGAAAACAGCACATATTTAACATTTTCCAAGATGAACATATAAAATCATGAAATATCTACATGAGACTTGTATTCAAATATGCCACTTGTTTTCATGTCTACCATATGAAAATATGTTTATTCTTATGCATTCAATATTCATTTTTATTTGTAAAAGATTGAAGAGATGCACTGAAAGTATATAGGGCTAGAGAAGTGGCTAGAGGCAGAAAGACTTTCAGGTGTGCTATGAAGAGAGCCACATTCTGTAAAGGACTTGCTGATTAATGATGATTTTAACAATGATGTTTCTACCCCCCCCCCCCCCTTTTTTCCCCATAGTTATGAGCAATGACTTGTTCTACAATGAAGCAAAGACCTCAAGTAAATCACACTGAGCCCATGATAAACACATTTATCATCGGATGAATTCTACAACTGAAGTTCTTTTTGGGATGATGTAGTTAGTGTTATCTAATACCTCCATAGCCACCTCTTACAGCAAGACTGATAGGTCAATGCTGCTGTTCTTTGCTGCTGTAATGGGCCATGAAAACACAGGAGTGTCAAAATACTCTTCTTCTTCTTCTTCGTGTTTACTGGCCGTAAAACTTGAGTTAAAAAGGAAGAAGGGGGGGGGGGGGGGGGGAATTCTCATTGTTTGTTGACTTCTAATCTTGTTCTAGAACTTTAGTTTTATGTGCATCTATTTTTACAAATCTGGTTAATTTGTGAGCAGACTGTTGGTTTCTTGCAATTAGGCAGATGAACTTTGACTTAGAAGGTAACCCATAATTAATTTACTCTTACAACATGCTTGTTGGGGACGCAGTGGGTCTACTCTCCCTCCCCCCCCCCCCCCCCCCCCCCCCCCACACTCAGTGGAGCCCCTGAATCCACACGGGGAAGAGGTAATACAATTTTAAAAACAAGTGAAATTCAAAAGACATAAACACCATTATAAAATCCATACTGCAGGAAAAGCCGAAGTGGGTGAGCAAGAGGAAGGCAGCCATACAAGTAGGACGATAACATCAAGAGGGTCAAACAGCGGTCTGAGACAGTTTACAAGTAGGGCAAGAGAAAGAGAGAAAGTGTCTGAGATTGATTGCAGCACTGGGGAGACAGCACCTGATGACACCAGCGAAGCATCTTAAAGAGAATCCAACCACTAGCAACCATAAAAACCTGTGAAGAGACAAGTCTTCTACCACACACTGTTGTAACATTAAGAAAAAATGACTGCTTACCAATTAAAGACAAGATACCCCTGGAGAAGCGGCACATGTCCGGTACAGTATAGTTGCAGCTCTGTATGGCCAGCGTACTTTCCCCAAATGGAAGAGTGAAGAAGCAGAGTTTGTACAGCAGACAACCTAATGCCTAGATGGACAATCACAAAGTATCATCATTGACCTGATACTCATTCAATTAACAAATGCTGCACATCTTAGAAGAAGCATTTGAAACACATGCAATGGCAACAGTGATACTAAAATTCCATGCATTAATTGAAGAAAACTTTTCTGAACATGAGCAGGTCCGGCTAGTCATACTCACCATTGCCATCAGCTGCGATTCCTACAGCACAATCTGACATTGTCATCTGAAAGGTGTCAACTCTACTCTAGAAATGTGATTCATAAAATAAAATATGATCCATGTCTACTGTACATATCATGCCTTTCCACAATCTGCGATCTCCTGTAGCATGTATCAGTTCCTGTGCTGACACACCTCCTTGCTATGCAACAAGACTGTCAAGAATATTCTCTCCCTGTCTTCCTCTATCCCACCTTCCACAGATCTTTCCAGTGATCACCTAGAGACTCATAAACACATAAAATTCACTTATTTGAGTGATGAATTCCCATATCAGTATAATCAATTCCTCCTTTACTAAACTTATTTCACTCATCAACAAATCAATACCTGAAATAAGATGAAATCATCTATTAAAATAAAGAATACACTGATCAATGTAATGAAGTAATTGATCAACATGCTGATTCTGTCCAACAGATTTTCTGCTTCTTCTTCTTCTGTGCTCGCCATAAAAGACTGTTGGCATGTTGCATTGTAGTTTATAGCTTGGATGTTGTATCTGAGCCTTTAACCCAGTACATGTAATTTCAGCAATGAATTCCCCCATTAAAACATTATTTCACATGGTAATGTAAAGAATTCATGAATTAAAAGATTAATTTCACATTCCAAAATAATTAACTATTTCTTCAACAAGCTGTCAAACATGGACCTTGACTACACCCCATAAATGCCAAATCAAACATGGACCTTGACTACACCCCATAAATGCCAAATCAAACATGGACCTTGACTACACCCCATAAATGCCAAATCAAACATGGACCTTGACTACACCCCATAAATGCCAAATCAAACATGGACCTTGACTACACCCCATAAATGCCAAATCAAACATGGACCTTGACTACACCCCATAAATGCCAAATCAAACATGGACCTTGACTACACCCCATAAATGCCAAATCAAACATGGACCTTGACTACACCCCATAAATGCCAAATCAAACATGGACCTTGACTACACCCCATAAATGCCAAATCAAACATGGACCTTGACTACACCCCATAAATGCCAAATCAAACATGGACCTTGACTACACCCCATAAATGCCAAATCAAACATGGACCTTGACTACACCCCATAAATGCCAAATCAAACATGGACCTTGACTACACCCCATAAATGCCAAATCAAACATGGACCTTGACTACACCCCATAAATGCCAAATCAAACATGGACCTTGACTACACCCCATAAATGCCAAATCAAACATGGACCTTGACTACACCCCATAAATGCCAAATCAAACATGGACCTTGACTACACCCCATAAATGCCAAATCAAACATGGACCTTGACTACACCCCATAAATGCCAAATCAAACATGGACCTTGACTACACCCCATAAATGCCAAATCAAACATGGACCTTGACTACACCCCATAAATGCCAAATCAAACATGGACCTTGACTACACCCCATAAATGCCAAATCAAACATGGACCTTGACTACACCCCATAAATGCCAAATCAAACATGGACCTTGACTACACCCCATAAATGCCAAATCAAACATGGACCTTGACTACACCCCAAAAATGCCAAATCAAACAAAGATTGATGTCTAAGAAGATTGCCGGGGTAACAAAAGAAAGTTAAATGAAGAAATCAGAATCTAAAACCAGTCATACAATTAATCAAATAGCAATAGATGAGACTAACAACAATAGCCTGGTACCAACTACCATACAGAAAGTTTTGTTTGTCAACACACAGTAAGGGGCAGACCATGCACAAAGACAGCTTTAAATAATGAAAATTTACATATACAATGCAGTAGAAAGAGCACAAAAGGTTAGTTGTGTATCCTTTACAGGACCTTGCAGAACCAAACCCATTATTTTTTGGATGTTGTGGTTTTTTTAGGCAAATTTACGTCCAGTAGTTTGCCATTGCTTTTTGGATGGTCGGCTCTCAATACCACATGTGAAACCAATGCAAGGCATGCAGCTGGGATCGAACCAACAGAAAGAACATACAGAAGATTTTCAACCTCCTCCTCCCCACCCCCCCCCCCCCCCCCCATAAATCTTCAATGAGGTCTTTGAAGGAGGAGGAGGAGGAGGAGGAGGAGGAGGCAGAAGAAGAATAAGAAGACAAATTTATAACACATAAACAGGCCATTTATGAGACTGACAACTCACCCATATGTCAGCTTTGGTTGTGATTGGTGTCCCTCCATACAAATCTATCATCTCTGGAGCTCTGTATGACAGTGTTGTGTATCTGGATAGTTGAACCCAAACTTACAATTATTTAACCATAACATGTCATTCAGTTAACTGGAACTTAAAATATAATATCTGTAACATAACATTTAATTAACACAACATACTAATATGGATAATGGAAACAGAAGAAATCATAATTCTACAGCAGAAACATCAGGAGTTCTGCCACCTCATACATATGTAGTTGTATAAGAAATTAAATATCTTTATAATGATGTATTTGGCACAAAAAATAAACCGACACTGTATCTTATGGAGCAATGAACACCAAGGTTTCTTAGTAACTGTCAGGTGGCCTTACATAACTGTGTTAGATGGCTGAATGCAAACATTAAACAGCATTAAAAGTCTCTGGTTGAGCACTAGCAAGGAAATCAGTTCAAATTTTGAGAGCATGAATCTTTCCTGTATCAAAATAAAGCTGTGCGTCCTGGACTATCTCCCAGTCCTTAAGAAAGAAAATAGGGGCTTTTGAGCTTTTGAAGATTGCTAATAAACAGCATCTTGGTAAAAACAACAGCAGAAGGCATGGTACTCGGAAGGAGGGGCAGGGGCAAACCAACACGAAGATGGGCACATAATATAAGATACCTCTAGAATATGAAAGTACACTAGGCTGGTCAGCTGGCGAGAGACCAAGCTTCTTTCAGGCAGATCGTGATGAGAGCTACGGACTGTAAAGGACCTGCCACATGATGATGATAACAGGGTTAAATAGGGTTTAATAGATTTTCTGCTGCTGGATTCTCACAAAACAGCAGCTTCTGAGTGACAGGGTCTTCATCTTTCACAATGAAATCCTGAAGAAGTAAAATAATTATTATAAACTGTAATAATAGCTCTTACTTCTTAATTTCTTCCTCAACAGAAGCAACTTTTTGTTGTGAAGGATCCATCACTTTTGCAGTTGAACTTCCAAAATCACAAAGCACATAATTTCCACCCTCACCTATTAAAATGTTTTCTGGCTGAAAAATAACATAAATCAAGATCAGCTCTACTAATAACTGTACGTTGTTAGCTGCATATCCGTTTTAGAACATTGCAGAACCGACCTCAGCATGTTTTTTCCTGTTTGCAAAGACAGACTGTTTACAAATAATTACAATAATTACACTGGCACTGTGTTACAAGGTTCAAATACCCCTTTATCTTACTCCTTTGATGACACACGAGAGCAGAACCTCTAGTGTTCAAGCATGGATAAGATTTTGTGACAGGCCTCAATGACAAGAAAATGATTTTTGTGTGTTGTCTGTAACTATATAGCTGACAGTTTTATTTTTCTCGATGTCCAGTTTCATATACTCAGGTAAGACTGTCAGCTAGACCGCCTCTTTGAATCTGCATGTCAGTTACAGGTCTTTCCATGGTTCCCCATAGCTTGCTCTGCAAACTTTATTCTTGAGGTCAGGTTTCTTTCACAGGTGTAAGGCCTGCTGAATGTGCTCACGTGTCTGTGGTCCCATCGGACATGCACACTGTGGAGACTGTATAGCTCTCTCGTGAAACCACCTCAGTGATTTGAGAATTTAGTATCTTTAATAACTTCTTTGTTCAATAAATAGACACAAAAATTATATTGAATGTCCACTAAGATCAAATACTCCAACTGTTTCAGGTTCTTAGACCAGAAGAAGAAACTAGTCCGGGCCTGACAACACCTGATAAGATTACCTGCTGGTCCACCTGGTGAAAAAGTGGAGATGTCACAACATCTGACATAATCAGCAAGCAGGGTTATTCAGCTGGCAGGTCAAATCTGGCCCACAAAGGCCTAGAATGTGACCGGTGGGTCAGGCCAGTTGTACTATATTAATGATATTTCTACTATGCTGGGACTTGGACATCTCGCCCATGACGATCCCCTTTTTTCAAAGCATTGGCATCAAGTAAAAACTTAGCTGAACAGCCCTGTTCTAGGAGATATTAGCGCAGTTCAGTTTTGCAGAGCACTGCCCCCATCAAGGAACGTTAAAACAGCCAATTAGTCCCATGTCAACTTTCTCAAATTGTGAACTCTGATGCCCACAGTCTCCTTGACAATCTGTGTCAAATGTCTCCTGACTTCGTTGCACCCAGTTTCCTTTCAGACTGACCACTGTCTCTCCACAAAAGCAGCCAGCCACCTGCCAACAACATCACATAGAGCACGAATAATGTAGCTCCGCCAATCCTCAGGGGTCTCCAAATAACTATTCTCTCCAAATCATTATGGAGTTTAATATGATATAAATGATTGCAGAAAGGATGAGAGTTAAGCGTCTGAAAAGAAACGGATTAAACAATGAATGATATAAATATTTCAGTTTACAAGAAACAATACTGTTTATGAGCCAGTCCCAAATGATTTTTAGACTGAAGAAGTCATTACTTTTTTTTTCTTCATATTTTGGTCCATAATACTCTAAACATCTGTCTGTAAAATGGAAGTTCAAAAGCCGCCAATTAAGAAAAGAAGCTTACCCATCTAAAACTACACTTTCCATTAACATGGCAAACTAACCTTTAAATCACGATGAATTATTGGAGTGTGGCAATGATGCAGACGAGAGACAGCCTCACACAGATCGCAAAATATTTTGAGGATTTCTGTCTCTGAGAACCCAGAGTCAATACGCTGGTTCATAACTCGTATAACAGAGCCTGAAACAATGGAAACAAGGAATAATACTTCTAGTAACAATACTTTCATGGAATACACCACAACATATTCAACCATTATATACTATTTGTTACTGTCAGGGTGGTGTTGCTGAGTGGGAGTTGAACTCACTTGGTACCCATTCTCAAATCTTTGCAATGATTGTTTGACAGATACAGAGCTGAGCTGACATCACAGCACTCAAGAAATTCCCATATGTGCTCAGTTCTCATCTTCAACAGTCCGCAAAGAGTTCCAATTCTAATAGTACCAGTAGCCTATTGATTATATTCCATACTGCTTTTACTCTATGACATACACTGAAGATTGCAAATTGTGAAGAGGCATGATCGCCCACGCCAGTCAGCAAAACACTTTATGATGAAGAAAGATAAGCAAGTTACTGAGATTTTGCAGCCCTCCAACTCCTTTCATTTATGGTGTTCTCTGAATTACAAGTATGTGCTTCCACATGATTCTGAAGACTTCAAACATATGAATATTTCAAGATGTGTATCACTGAAATCTCAATTAGTTGGTCTTTTCCCTTTTATAAACATGCCAGATGTACTGCACTTATATACAAGAATGTCACCACACTTCTTTGCTCACAGCACACTGTCACAAAAGCCAATGAATACCAGCACTCAAAAAGGAAGCAAACAACAGTAACTTAATAAACATATCATGCATGCCATAAGAGGTTGTTAAGGAGGGCTGGCGTGAGACTAGTTTCTTTATTTTAAACAGAATTCCAACAAAATCCAGAACAAGCTAACAGAGACATGAGAATTAGATCAGTCAAGCAAGATAAACTGAGGCTTTCCTTGCATGAGTTGTTAAAATCAACATCGCAGCACTCTGGACATTCCCATAAGCACTCAGTCCTCATTTTCAGTAGCAAGTGCAGAGTTTAAATTCCGATGCTACCAGTAACAGTCTGATTGTTTGTCTGTCTGTCCCTCCCCTGAGCCTGAGTGTTGAACACTAGTTAGATCCCCTGGTCACTGCCCGCTGTACCTCAATACCTGTATCCTCCATGTTCCACTTGCAAAACAGTAATAATAGATGATACATATTGCACTTAGCTGATATCTTACAAGAGCCCTTCAGTGTAAGCAAAGAACAGTAACACTGCACCCTGGAATAGAGGTTGACTAAGGAACACATGGAGAATTGGAGAACGAAATTTATTTTAAAAATAAAAGGGGGCGGGAGCGGAAAGAACATGGGGTGAACTGCATGTGATAGCCTTAGTGCAAGTTGGTTGACAGTCTCTCCGTTAGAGGATTAAGGGCAGAAGGAGAAAATATATACTAATTATAATTCACTAATGCTCAATGAGATATAATTTTTAAAATGCAAAAAGTGCAAACTCATATCGTGAATAGCGGCAAGAAACTAAAACACAAAAAGGAACAGCAGTCAGACAAGAGGGAAATGAACAGCACACTTGATGACCTACCTCTGCAGTACTGCATAAGTATGAGAACTTCATACACTCGGTTCTGGGTGACTGTGATGCTGGAATCTATGTAGCGTATGATGTTTTTGTGACCACTCAGATCTTTCTGTAAACCAACGAACACAGTCATTGTTAGAGCTAACAAAGTGTTGACAGCAGCCTAAGGAGGCACAAGGACATGTTCTTTCAGTTATATGGAACAACTAGCAGTTTCATAACAACTGTGTGCTACCAGTCCCAGACAGCAACAGTATTAGAAAAACAGAAAGCAAGTTTGTCTCTTTCCAATGTGGATACTGAGTTATCTTATGAGTTAATTTCTCATCTTAAGATATTTTCATTAACCTCTCTGCTCCTGATGTTCTCATCATTTATGTATAAAACCCCACCTTTGTCATTTAACAGGAATGTTCACAAATCGTCGGAGTGTGATTTTACATTTTTTAATTAAACACTTGTCAACCGAATCATTCACAGAGTGCTTATAAAATGTAAGCACCAACAACTACTACAGACACACAAGGTATTTACCATAATTTTTATTTCTTTCTGACAAACAGCCAGGTCAGACTCATTGTTGACATACATCCTCTTGAGAGCAAGATGGTTGCCATTTGGAAGTCGGACCAGAAACACAATGGCAAAACCACCTAAAAAAAAAAACGTCCTATTATAATTTGGTACTTACAGGTCACAGACACAAAATTGCTTCTTCTCTTTTTTGCCTCCTCTGTTACCACTTTGGGCGTCGAGGAAAGTTCTGCTTCCTACTCTTCTGGCCACCTTGACCACAGAGACATCATGTTGTTGTAGAGTTTCTCTGATGTTATCTTTCCATCTTGTTCTTGGTCTGTCTTGTGCTCTACGCTTGGGATGCCTTGTCTGACTGATCTGCTGTTTTTGTATGTAATTTAGGATTGATTTCTGTCTCTTATAACCTCAGTCCTGATTCTATTTCTTCTGGTCACGCCTGCAGTCCTTCTCAGATATCTCACTTATATGGTTACTAATTTAGAGAGAGAGAGAGAGTGAGAGTGAGAGTGAAAGAGTGAGTGAGTAAGTGAGTGAGTGCGTGAGTGAGTGAATGCGTGCGTGCAGGGGTGTGTGTATGTGTGTGTGTGTGTGGTTTGTTGCAGGCACGGGCAGTATACAGTGCGAATTAATATGCTTTCTATGAGATATTTCTTTTTGCTGATCTTATGCTTTAAACAAACAAAAGAGGGGGGGGGAGGGGTGTCTGTCCCAATACTCGGCTACCAGTGCCAAAATTGGATACTATCAAATACTCACACAATTCAAATCAATGATCTAAGGAGAGATGCTCAAGGAAAAGCTGTCAATTCAGTGATCCAATAATAAATGAGAATACTATCAGACAGACTGAAGCGGGGAAAAAAACAGTGATTGTTTAATATAATGATAAACACAAAAACCAAACAGTTTTGGCATCTTGTCTGAAAACAGTAAGCCAGACACCAATACAGAAACTACATCTAAACAGAGCTGACAACAAAAGCTAGAGGGTGTCAAAGAAGACAATGGATCAATTAGACGGCAAACACCATCTTCAATTATCTCATACGGAAGACACAATTATAACTGTCTATTTTTAAGCAGATCAAATATTTTTTTAAATACAAATTCAGCATTTTCTTCCGTGTGGATTCAAGAGTCAATTTTAGGGTTGGGGGAAGTAGGAATGGATATAAAATCTGATATGCTGGGCTACAAGGCCCTGATCTCATGGTCTAGCTATAAACACAATGCAAGCTGCTAACTTCATTCTTCTACAGTCAATGTAGAAGAGAAGAAGTTCAGCATTTATGTTTATATTTTTAAAAATTCAACAAAAAATGTAACAGAAACATGACAAAATCACTGTTTAGACATGAAACAGCTGATGTGGCAGGGGCACCACTACCTTTAGCTATGACAACTTTTTTAAAGATACATTTTTTTTACACTAAAGAATAAAACCAAAGTATTAAAAAGTTAAACTTCTCTTCTTTTTATCCCCCCAACCCACTTTTTTTTTCTATAAATGCACCTACAACTGGTAAACCAGCTTCAATATGGTTTGTTTTTCTCAGGTAAGTTAAAAATGTTGGCATCATGACCTAATGTTTTTTTAAACACATGAGTAATGATGTTACTATATGAATGTAATAATTATTTGGACTTTCATTTAAGTACTTTCAAGTCCAATTGTTGCTGACTTTAATTTAATTACTTAAAAGTTCAACTGTTGTTATGTTTAACTATTTGAGTCCCAAGGAACACATCACACGCTAACTGGTTACAAACCAGCTGTCCAAGACAAATGAAGGTTTTTAATTTACCACTGACCAGCAATAAAACTCCCTTTCCAGTTCTTTGTGGATATCAGGCATGCTGACCATAAGACTCATTTGGAAACGTGGTTAAAAGCCTAAAATATAGTCACTTTGATGAAGGATAGCTCTAATGTGTACCTCACATGAAAGGTACAATGATAGCAAATTCAAATGGCACAAATAGAATAAATATTATTGAAAAAGTGATTTGACTCAGTGTCAGGCTAAACTAGATGGCTGGGACTCACGAGCAACAGCTACCACATCTCCTGCAGCTTTCTTCATTGAATTTGCTCGTGAGTCCCAGCCATCTAGTTTAGCCCCACCCCACGCCGCATGTAGCGACGTGGGAGATACTCTTGCCGATGGCGGTAGTCACCGGAAGTCCGCAATTTACATGTGACTGAGGCCCTGTTAGGGTGTGTTTTTGGCCGCCATAATATGTGCCAGTTATTCAGAGGATAGCCCGTCTGTTTATTTACTATTCAATATTTAAGTAGTAACGCAGTTACTGGCTATAGCTTTATTCTGTTATTATTCCCCAACAATCCCTGGTCACTTTGATGTATAATATGTGTATGCTGCACAAAGGCATATGAATTAATGTATTACACTTGTGAAATAAAATTATTGCATTCATTACCACCCCTTGGGCTGCTGATGCTAAACACTAAACCCCTGGGACTAAGAGTTAATGCTTGTTGCTTTAATAGTTTTTTAAACCACTAATAGTACTTCAATAATGTCTGATAGCTAGGAAAACCAGAAACTCCAAATTGTGGCTCTACAGTGTTAATGTGTTATGACAACTTGAAATCGATCAATCCGATCATAGCTTCGAATTCAACAGTTTGTGGTTTCATCGGGGCGACGCCCACAGTCAGGAAAACACTCACCTTCGGCTATAATATCCTCAACCACGACATTGTACCGGTTAATCTGAAATGTTTTCCCTATGTGAGGGCTCTGTTGGTTCGAGCCGAACAACTTTTTCATGGTGTGGGCAACTGTGGGTGTTCTACGGCCAACAGGGACGGGAAAACGCAGCTCTAGGAATGCATGTTTCCAGGATTACTCATATCGTCTGCCCGTTGTGTCAATTTCCTGTAGGAGTTATCACCACTTGCGGGAACAACATATTTTTGTAGTTTCGTATACACGCGCATACAAGATCAAAGCTTAAAACAAATTCAACACTTTGATATCTGGGCAGAATTGTAACATATGATGGCAAAATAGACAGAGAGGTTGAAACAAGACTGCAACAAGCCAACAATGTCACACATCAACTAACTCCAGTTTTCAAACATCCGGCTATCCTAGTAGTGTAGAGAGACAAAGACATTAAAATGCAATCCTCATACAAACCTTGCACTATCAGTGTCAGGCATGGATATTGATTGAAGAACGCGAAAGAAATCTACAACATGCAAAATGGGATGTTTGATAAAGGCCGTAAACAAAACTAGAAGAGATCATGTAAGAAACTAAGAAAGTACACGAACTATAGGAACAACACCTTTAATTAAATTCATTACAAAAACAACATTTAATAAGAATGCATCCAACAATGCCAATAATGGAAGAGTACAAAATAAAAGAGGAAACACTAAGAAGAAGATGGATTGAAGGATTCCCTGATTCCTTGAGACTCCACAATATCACAACCAGGACCTTCTGCAGCTTTCTGAAGACGGTCGTGATCACAACATACCGGGCAACCGAGCGTGTCCTAGCTCGGAATCCTATCACCTGTTAAGCTGCGGCACAGATCCGAAAATAAGGAACAGAAAAGAAAGAAAGTATACAATGAATAAGGCTAGGAACCGACATCGCAGCCCTTGACACTATGAGCGCCGGAACCTAAAGGGCTCATGTCCTGTGAGTGCCCCCTTCCGCCACCCCACCCATAGTATTTATGTAAAAGGACTAAGATGCCTTCTTTAACCATACATAGAAATAATCTTTTGAGATTTATGTTTACACATCTCATATTATATTATTATAGACCTCCAATCCCCTTTTTGACACAAGGGAGAGCCCTCGATGACACCCCTCCCCCGCCCTTCCCATCTATTATTTTTCTAGACATCTGTAAGATAATGTTTTTGCGGCGCAGAGCTTCACGCCTCATTTTTTTGGGTTGCCTAGGTGATGGCTTAGGTGTTGCGAACGCGCTTCGTAATTCCGGGTTACCGGGTTCAAGGCCAGCTGCGGGCGATTTGGCAGCAGAAAATCATGCATTGGTTTCGACAGAGGTGCTGAGACAGATTGTCCTCATTGATCGTCGAACAATTAAGTCCATAAGTGGTCGGGTCCCTTCCTCAGTAAATCCCGCAGTTTGTAGCGGATGGCGACACCAGTTCTGTGTTGGTTTATTAAAATTGTTTGGCTAGTAGCGTTTTGTTTAGCGACACCATTGAGAAACCATCCTTAAGAACACAGACTATACGAGATCAACATTGGCAGCTTTCGTGACAAGATGGCAGCATTGAATCCCTGCCTAGTCACTACAGCTTAAATTCTGATTTTGTCATTGTGTTGTCCAAGTCCTACTTCTCTCATTTACTTCTGTGAGACTTCATCTTCTTCTTCTTGTTCTCCACTAAAAGGGTGGTGGTCACGTGTCTAGTCGCTACACAACGATGGCTCATCCCCCCCCCCCTCATCTGATTTCTGCAGATCCTTGAAAAGTCGCCCTCTGTGACATCTTTCTGGATTAGTCGCCCTCTGTGTCACCTTTCTTGATTAGTCGCCCTCTGTGACATCTTTCTTGATTATTCGCCGTCTGTGACTTCTGTGGGTTTCTTTCTTTCTCTCTTACAATGAGACATAGGGACCCACACGGAGAGAATCGATCAATAAGTAAGTAATAGATCTATTTCCACGCCTTCAAGAGAGTTGGGCATATAGGGCTAGATATATTTTATAGACCGACACTGGGTGGGTGATATGGTCAAAATCACGCCGATTGCCTTTACTTCCCAGGACTCTACCTGATACCCATATAAGACTTAAAAAGAACAGTAATTTTTTAACCCATGACCTTCCGATCCCCAGGAGAGAGTGAATGGATCAATACACGAGATTTGAACAGCTGCCATACCTCAACACCAGCAAACCCAGATACCTGTTTTTCCTAAAGTGACAAGTATAAAATATGGAACTGATCGTGTTACGGAACGAAACAGATACGCCATGGGTGTCTGGAATGTTCACTGGTCGTGGATGTTCTTCTTATCAAATATTCTTGAATTCCTTGCTAGCGATCTTGATACGGGAGGATGGTAAGTGTTTATGATGAAATCTATAGTTCTGCATCACTTACTGTTCGTGCAGTTATTAGTTAGTTGGGATATGATCATTGTACTCCGGACTTGGCCATAGGAACTCAGCAGATCCTTCCCAACGGCCAACGTTCTGTGACTAATTTATAGTAGTGAGTAGGTAGTTACTAGTTAATTATTAACTAATACATTTTCGATCCCTTATGTATAAAAATAAAAAGTTGCTAGACCAGTACATACATCATAGATAAACAAATACCCGGACACTGCCACTCTTTCTTTGTTCTTTATTCTAAAGTAAGTTATTTAAATCTTAAAATTATAACTATCCTTTTTAAGTTAAAATAAAATGCGCTAAAGCTGTTTAAGCTGGTCAGTGTAAACTCACCCAACAGGAGATGTAAGTATTGTAAGAGGATACCTTCCTTGCCACCTCTCCGCCCCTAAACCCAATCATGATCAGGGTTATTGATTACTGAAATCGTGCAGGCAGGTAATGGATAAAAGCAATGAACTTTCACAACTCAGCCTGTTTGACTGTTCAAGGCAGTGGATGCCGCTATAGACACAATGACACTTCACTGATTGCCAGCAGTAATACCTTCACAGACAGAAATTGCAGCCTGCTGTGTGTGTTTGTGTATGTGTGTGTGGGGGTTTAGCATCAGAGACCCAAGGGATGGTAAAGAGACTGTAAAATCACCACATCTTGCCTTTATTGGGTTTGTAGGTAGGAACCTATAAACATATGATGCATTCCTTTGGCTGAAAGAGTTGATAAGATCCTAATAAAATAGGTACCAAAAATTGTTTTGAGAAAGAAAAAGTGGAGAGACTAGTAAATTGTCATCTAGCTAGCAAATGGTGCATGCGAATAATCGCTGCTTCTAGAGCATTAGCATTGGCAGCAAAACAGACACACTTGCAGTAATTGTATCAGACTCCATGTAGATGATTCAGAAGATAGAAATAGGCAATATGCTCTCTGAAAGGGTAAAAAGCATTCAAAAATCACACTTAACCCCCCTCACCTGGATCTACACACCTGATCATGCTGGTGTAAAGGTAAATCAGTGAGCAGACCAACTGGCAAGCAATGCTCCAACGCGTGTGGGAAGAAATATGGATAGAGCAGATATCATCAACTTTGTACAGATTGGGCTAGTGGGTAATGACAAATCTCTGACTCTAACATGATTGCGTGACATGGGAGTAAAGCTTTTTGAAGCATGTCTATGCTGCATTTGAGGCCGAAATAGGAGACATTATAATCAACCTCTCATGGAAACAATTAGTAGAAAAACCGGTACAATATTTTTTGCGTACCCCTGACGTCACAATGACATCACAGGAGACATTCCCAATAAATTCTAGGGTGTTCAGGTTGTGGTTTCTCGCGGTTTCTCTACATCCAAGTTGTTCACATCGCAAAAGCGCGCTCTCGCAATGCGCGCTTTACTATGACGTGCAGTGTTGCCACTTCGGATATTTTACATCCACATTTAGATGTTTTTCCTTCCATTTAAATGTCTTTTTGACGTTTTAAATGGTAGATGCTTTTCTAGATTCTTTTCATATGTTTTTCCCTCCATTTATGTCTTTTCGACGTTTAAATGGTAGATGCATTTCTAGATGCTTTTCATTTGTTTTTCCTTCCATTTAGATGTCTTTTTGACGTTTAAATGGTAGATGCTTTTCTAGAAGCTTTTCATATGTTTTGCCTTTTATTTAGATGTCTTTTTGACGTTTAAATGGTAGATGTTTTTGATTTGAGTTGAATATTTTTTTCCAGTTATTATTGTTTTTTCTTTCAGTTACTCAAACTTTGAACTCTCACTGGGGTCAAAGCTCAAATATCTGGCAGCCCCGGTACTGATTAATTAAAAGGGTGCGCAAATCACACTTACTTTGTTTCAACCGTAACCTCACTGTGCTAACTTTGTGTTTCTTTTTCATGTGATTTAAAAAAAATAATTGCTCACCTTCATATGTGGCTTTCACTTTGAATAAACATTTCAATATGCTAAAAGTAAAGTATGAACAAAAAAATATTGGCAGTTCCCGTGGATATCACCAAGGCTCGTTGTAAGTACTTTCATAAATCGCACAAACCACGAACGACGTAGCGCCAGCAACGGTCAAATCATTTTTTGTTTCGTTGCCGGCCTGGAATTGCTTAACATAAACAATCCATACAGACGTTTATATGACATTGCAGATCTTAACCATGTTTTTACACGACGACGTAATGTGCTGAACGATCGCTCCACAGTACATGTTGTTGCTGGTAATGTTAGCAAAAATAGTAACACATACCTGACACTCAGATAAAACTTTGTAAAAGGTACAAGTCGATACAATCTTGTCTACTTCTGCATTCTCGCGTTTTCCCTCCCCCGTGTGGGTTCCGGGGCCCTATTGTGGGGAAAACAAGAATAGACCCACTGCCTCCCCAAAAGCATGTCGTAAGAGTCAACTAACTGGGGAACTTCCTTTGAAGTCGGAGTGCATCTGCCTGAGAGGCGAGGAACCAACAGTCTGCATTCAATTGAATCAGATCTGTAAAACTGATGTACACGCAACACTCATGTTCTGGAGCATGGCTGCAGTCCAGAAGTGGATGAGCAACCAGAACTTTACGCCAGAGTGTACAGCTGGTGAACACGAAGAAGAAGAAGAAGAAAAAGAAGAAGATGTTTCAAAATTATC